ATAAATCACGCCGAGGCAACGTCGAGAAAGTCCGCAACATACCCTTTTAGTCTGCCCATGACCAGTGCTGTCTGGTAAGTAGGTATTCAATACCATCCTTGCCCTCTTCCTCGTCTCCCTGCGTCTCGCTGCGGCGCAGAACACGCCCGTCACACCGCGCTTCCTCCTCCACCCTCCGGGCCAGCGAGACGCCAACGACGAAGCCGGCCTTGATCGAGGTAAGACTTTCTCCATTTTGGGGCGAGGCCGGCGTGTGCGTGGCGTCACCAGTCTCCCCTTCGCCCACCCAATCCCACCACCGCCGTCCCCTTGCCAGGACCTACTGCGCTCCCGTCTCCCTGATTTGCTTGTTTTTGTTGCACTCTTTCGGTTTACGCGGCCGCGCGCACGGTCAGCCCGTTGCCTGGCCCGCGCCTCATCAATTCATGCGGTCGGTGGCAGAGGGTATGCGACGAAGAGCATACTGCCCAGCCGACTGACAGACCGACCGACCATCATCAATGAGCCGAGAGATGAGGTTGCCCTGAAAAGGCATGTGTCGATTTGGCTCATCAATGATGCCTGTCTATCTGTGCGACCAGAAAGGAAGAATCGTAGGCCAAAAATACAGACACCCACACCCACCCACGCTGATGGCCTTGTCATAGCCAGTCGTACCAAGCTGATGATGCGACAACGGAAGCTGAACTCCTAGCTGCCGTCCATCCCGTAGATGGCGACCCTGTCGTGGTACCAAGGACCAGCACAGCAGGCCAGCTCCCGCCCGCGACAGGGGTGTCCCCAGCTGTTCCAGCTTCCCTCTTTGAATAATTGGAATTGCATTCGTTTCCCTACACCCCTCTCTCCGTCCCTTCGAGAGAAACAAAATTTCTCGTGGGGACGCTACGCATGGCAATCAAGACTGCATTCCTGACCCATTACCGAGCCTTCCTTGGCAGACATGGCAACGACAAGCAGACGGTTGGGAAAACACAACAACCATCATGCGTAGCATGCGAGAGGAGTGCAGTTGTGCCTGGTACACTTGAGCTTGGTCGATGAGACACGTTCAAGTGCCCTTCGGCGGCATGCCCGGGAGTGGTCGAGTCCTTTGTGGGCTGCCAAATAGAGTTTGTCACGCTCTCGACGGACTGACGGACACGCGATTATCGTTAAGCTACCAGACCGATGGGTTGGTCTTGTAGACACGTATTGTCCTCGAAAGCTCGTATTGGAGATGCTGACCTTGTCGTGGAGTCAAGCCGGCAAGACCTGGCACTGACCTGCTCATGTTGCTACAGTCTTCATTCTATAACTGGAAAACAAGCCAACGATCATTGCGACATTCCACATGTTGTGCCTTCAGACGTCTAGACCGTATTGATAATTAAACGATTGCATCGTGTTATAAAATCAACAGATCACTTCCGACTGTCTTGTTTGCGAGCAATTTTGGCATGGCAAGAGCCTGGCATTCGTGGGCATCGCCAGGATGACAACGATGCACCTCTTCAAGGCCAGTCCGAGGCAAAACACCACCCATGAGATGGCGTGCCCTTGTCTTCTCTAACCCGACAAGCCAAGGGGCCCCTGCTGATTGGTGGACCCCTAGTCTTTCTACCCCCTTGCAGCTTGGGGGTGACGGATGTGTATTGGCGATCAGACGCGACCGAAGCATGTCAAACGGCTGGCTGCCGAATGGCTCACAGTCACTGCCTCCAACACACAGTATTGTACAACAGAGATCTTCTGCATTTGCAGATGGAACTGACCTACAAGCCGCAGGAGAGACGATCTGTCTTTACGTCTGGCAGCCTCTCAAGATGATCGAAAGCGGCGAGGAGAGAACTTGGAGTGTCAGCATGGTCTACCAGGATAGCCATGAACCGTGCGCGGCGGTGACGGGGCTGGTCCCTGGGCGTCAGTGATGAATGCCAGGGGTGTAGTTCGTGTCTTGGCTGCGATCGTGACATGGCAGAGGGTAGGAAATAAGTAGGAGATCGCCTACTGATTCGGGCGCCGATCCTGCTTCTACTGCCACGACACAGTTGCCTACCTGCTGCCCGTCAATGTCGGTGTGCAGGTTGAAACCTTTGTCACTGACCTCACCGCCAGGCGGGCTATGATGTCGAGCGAGCCATCCTCAACGACGAAAACCAATCGCCAAAAACCCGGGCCATCCGTACAGCGCCCAGGCTAGGCCAGCCCAGGCCTCGTTTGTACTAAGTGCAGTGAACCCGAAGGTGGGAGTGGCTGCGGTGGGTGGTACAAAGCGTGAGTCCTGGCTGGGCTGCTGGCTCCCACCATTGTAGGCTAACGGGGTTGCTCCCGCATTGGAACAGTTCAGAGGACCCACAGATCCCCGCCCAGGGCGAAGAGGAACGTCGAAGAAGACAGCCAAAGTGTTGTTGGTGCGTGCGCCGTCGTCGAGGCCAGACTCGATTCGGCGAGGTTGTTCAGAGCCTGCCTTGCCTGTCAATCGATGGCTGGTCAACGGCCGTTCGAGGTGTGGCGGGCAGTCGTGCTGGTTATGATGAGGAGGCCGATGGCGACAGCTTGCGAAGGGAGAAGACGAATGTTGCAGTCATGGCAAGCTAGCGTTCTGTCTGCGCTCGCTCGGATGTCACAGAGCTTGTGTTCGACGTTACGTGGGTCTGGGATGGATCCTCGCTACAGGCAACACAGGGCCTCATCAGCGGACTGTTGTGCAGGAGAGCGATCTTTACGCTGCCCAGGCCCGCGCGATTCCGCACGCGGTACCCTGCAGAAGGCGGCAAAACACGTCGCTACTGTATTTTGATTGCCCTCCAGTTTGCAAAGCCGCACTATCGAGTATGAGAGTCTGATGTTGATCTGATGAATCGTACACACTGACGTGGAAGTATGGTGAGAGAGACACAACCTCAGGCTCAAGATACATTTAGTCCTCGCACCAGCGCCAGCAATAGTGCCAGTTGCAGCCATGCAGGTACCAAGTGGACATGGCAGATGAGGAAGGGTGGCGCGAACAGACGCTTGACCCACTCACTGCAGGCCCAGCCCCTCCTTGTCCTGAAAGTGAAGCCCAGGGAGGCAGAGCAGTCAGGGCAGGGCAACATGAACGGAAGAACTCACCAGTTCCTGCGCAAAGCCGATGGAATACGCGCCAATAAATAACGATCACTGTTTCTTGATTATAGAGTAGCTCTGGGCCATCGATGAGGGATACGAGTCGTCGCTTTGATGGGGCGGTGATTCAGCAACCGATGTTTGTAGTCAACATTCATAACGACATTGGACGTGGCGCTTCACTATTGTTGCCAATAGGCCATTAGACTGCAAGAGTTGGAAGTCACGAGGAGAAGCAGAAAGAGATCAAAAATACCAGACCGAGTACAAGTATATGAAGCAGGCTGCGCGTCAGGTGCGACACAGCTGATATGCAATCAGCTGCGACAAGCAAAGCATGTCATTCAATCAATCAGCAAGCGTGGCCATTTGCTTCCCTGCGACAGCTTCGGTGATGCGGTCGACCAACCACATGACAAAGGTTGACCACTCAATGGGGGAAGCGTTGAGCAATAGGGTCGGATCGTTAATCACTCAGGGACACCAGCGGGCATTCGAGGCCTATCGCCAGTGACAGCTCTAGAATCTGCTATGCCGCTTGAGCAGAGGGTCAGTACCACGCGTTCCTGGCCCAAAGCCAAGCCTAGCACGATAGCTTTAATGTTACAAAGTCAGGTTCATCCTGAATAGCCGTCAGCGATAGCCACACGATGGCTGCAGCATCGTATCAACAGCGCACGAAAGCCCGCCAAGGTGAATAGAAAGAGAGAGTGAGAAGGGGAGCAATAAAGAAAGGGAATCATGAGGAAGAGGAAGGGGGCGGGGCAGATACCGACATGTGTCAGGCACCCGATCGGACGATGTTTGAGCGGATGAGTCGTCGTCCAGTGGTAGACTGTAGACGGCGTGTCGGAGGTGTCGCACGAAAGATTCACGTCATGGTCGGCATGACAGTCGTCCGTAGAGGTGTGCAGCCCCAGAAATAGGCGGGGAGAGACGGGCAGAGTTGCAGGTGTCGAACCGTAAATGCTGGTTTGGCCGAATGCTCTGAAGTCTGTGGTCAATGGCAAGGCGATTCCCTGGGGTTGAGGGAACGGAATGCCAAAAGATGAGACAGCAACGACGAAGCAGACAGAGTAGAGATGAAGGCGAAGCAAATGGTATCGCACGACGGCGACGCACCCAGGTCATGATGATAATGGGAATGGAGGGCAAGAGGGCAGGATGGCAGGAGAGGCAGTGGCGCCTGGTGGTGGACCTGCAACCCCGAGTACCATGCCACAAGGCCTGGCTGGCAAGCATGGGCAGGTGGTACCTACGGTACGCGGATGAGTGCCTGTCCAGGCAGGTACCGAGCACCTAAGGCAGCTGCAGGCTTTCGACAGGCCTGTCAGTTGGATGTGCACTAAGTCCGTGTGGGCGGCGCCATGTGCAGGGGCACCCCTGTCCCATTGCTGCCCATTTCTTCCCTGGTGCAGTGTCGTGCGTGTGCCACCTTCTGTCTTCTGCCTTCTGCCTTTTGGCTTCCTGCCTCTGTCTCGATCCTGGTTCAAACTGTCTACAGTTACCCCTTCCGTCATCCGCCCTCAGGGTGCACCAGGCGCATTGTTCTTCGCGTTGTGTCATCTCGCCCACCTGGACAGGGCAAGCGATACCTCTGCTTCCCCTTGCCTCGGCGCAGCATCTCGTGTGCCTACCTTACCTGCCTAACATGCGCATCGCATCACAACATGGAGCGACTCCCCGTGCTCCAGGGAGAGGAATGTTGCGATGTCTGTCGGCTGCCACGCAAAGTGGGGGTTTGACGAATGGCCTGTGCCTTGTAACTCGCCTCATCCCCTTGTGTCTTCATCGTCCTCCGAGCCTATCGGCATTTGTGGACGATGGGTAACTATGTTGGCCATTAGGGTACCCTGCCTTAGGTAGGCAGTAGAACGCCCATGGCTGACGTTGTTGGCCCCCTCTCATCACGCCAGCGAGAAGAAGGAATACAATCTTTGTTCGGACTGACGTGGACAAGATCGGGTTGGCGGGAGATCAAAGCCCCCCCTGATCACCCGCGACGAGGTTCGATATCAACGAGTCACCCGCTTGCGGTCCTCTGGACCAGAAGAACAACCGCGACTACCCACCCCTCCTTTCCCCTCCCGCACCCTGGAGCTTGGGGTTGAACATGGGGAGGCGGTAGCACTGCGAGGACGAAGCACCCACGTTCATTCCATGCCAACATCCCGATACATGGTGCGTACCTACATGCGCATCACTTCTTCGCCCCTGGCTAGCCTAGTTGTCGCGCAATTGACGTTTTACCTCTCATCCCCTCTTTTCCTTTCACTCTCTCACTCTCTCGCCCAGTTCCTAGGCAGGTCGCATGGAAAGAAATGGCCAGACGATAGAGCAGAAAGCTGCAAGAAGCCCCAGCATGATTGAGACCACACGCACTTCAAGGCACGTCAAAGCACTGGTGCGAAGTATGTACTGTGTATCGAAGACGGTGATATCGGTCAGTTGACGGGCGATGTACATGTTTGGGGCGTGGGTGTCATCCAATGTACCGTGCTACTCCTTACCAACCTTACCTACCTAAGGTCGGTACCTACCAACCCACCACCCAACCATTCATTCACCCAACTGTGGTGCCAGCAAGACGTGTGAGGTGCAAGAGCTACGTTAGCTGGCGACTCCTTCGTCATACTCTGCCTTTACCCATTTGCCCTGGTGAAGAACTCGCGATCCGGCCTTCGTCGCCCACCTGGACTCACCATGGTTGGGCATTGCGCAACAAGGGAGTTGTTCGCAGCCATGGATGGGGGACGGGCAAAGTTGCCTCACGATAGATGTGCCTCTCAGGTTGGATGGACCCCAGGACGCTAAGACAGACGCTTTGCAGGGGTCCAGGTGGGTCATCGGATTGCCTTGCGTCGGGACTTCATCTGTACATGTACCTCCTAAACAACCTTAAGACGAGGAGGACGCTGTAAGGTGCACTGGAGTCCAGTGGAAGGCCCCTTAAGACGAAGCGGCTGATGCGGATCATGTTAGGAGGCACAAGGTAAGGACCCGCCCCACGCCACTCGACCTGGACAGTCCCTGCCGGTACGTACAGAGGTACCTGGGCAGTGGGCACCTATCTGGTCTGGCATTGGCAAGCCACCGACCAATCCCTTCACCCAGGCAAGCCCTGTCCTGCGCCCCTGCCCCCCTCCTCGTCTCTTCTCTGCCACCCATGTCAACGTCCCTTCATCGCGCTCAGTCTTGATCCCAGTACTGGCTTCCCGCCTTGCTGCCCATGCCCATGTCCATGCCCGCCCACCTCACTTCACTGCCCACCCACCACCATCCATCCGTCCATGCCCCCCCTCCCGTCTCTACTCTCACTCACTTTCTCTCCCCAGTCTGCCAGTTTGGGCTGGCCTGTCCAAGTCTGTGTCTCTGCCGCCCCTTCATCACACTTACACAGACCTGACCACGAGCCTGGTTTTCTCCCCATTCTCCCTCCTTCACCACCCGAACTCGAGGCCTCTGCCAGCCTTTAGCTTCTTGGTGCTCCTAGACGTCACCGCGCGCTGAACATTCTCACACGAGATATCGCATCGTCTTGGCCCCAAAGGCCTGTTTCCCTTCGTTTCGAGGCGATCCTTTCATCGACACGCCGCCAGAACGACGCAGTCCGAAACGAATTCACACCCTGCCACTGCCGCAACTCGAAGGATCGACGGTCACCTTTTGTCCCAGCTTTTGCGCCAGGCAGTCGACCTCAGCACTGCCAAAGCACACGCAAGCGCCGTGACCCGTGCAGACCGTGCTTTCCTGGCTCCACGTTGCTTCGAAGGAGCCCCATCAAGCTCTGAGTCCACTGGAACCTTAGCCTGGAACCCACCCCGTTGCCAGCCCAGCCAGCCTTCCCTTCTCCTCCCCCTCCCAAATACCCATTCCCACCACGCACCAAACCAAACGTCTTCGGTCGATCAGCGTCTTGCCGTCGCCAAACTCGCCTCCTGCATAGCGACACCGATCGCAGCGACATCGACCCTCCATACTCTCGCTGCCTCACCAGCGAGTTGGCTTCAGGACGGCGCCACAGCTCTCGACCTTTCCTTTTTTCCCCCCCTACGTGTAACCCTTCACGACGCTTCAGGATTTAACGCCACGAAAACGACGCATCAGCTTTCGAGCAGACCCGAGCACTCCCTCCTCAACAGATCCGTCATCGTACTCGGCACCTTCATTAATTTTTATTTGATTTGACCTCAGCTTGGTCTCTTTCAAGAAAAGCGAAGGAAGAGACACGAGGCAAAGGTTTTCCAGTTCGAAAGAATACATCGGGACGACGAAGGACGAACCACCCGCGACTCTGGCGTGTTGCCTTTCCCTTACTAGCAGCATCGCAGCGATTCTGCCATTGCCCACATTGGCGAAGGCGAACACTTTTCGCTGCCGCGACGCCAATCTAACGACATCGTACTGTCGAGTCTTCTATTCACGTGCTCTAGCCACAGACCAACCTCGGTCATCACGGTGTTGAGGTGCGCTTCTGTCCCCAGATTGCCACGACCATCACCTTGCGAAAGGTGTTTAGTGTGAGACTCTTAGCCATCGTCACCTCCCAAGGAAACATCACCACTGCCACACACTTGTGTCACCTTTTGGCAACGCGGCCATGGCCGCAAACATGCAACAAATGGCGGGCGGGCCTGGCATGGTGCCCCGACAACGGCCACAGCAGCCGTCCCAAGCCCAGATGAACGAGTTCCTCTTCGCCCGCCTGTCCCGCGATTACGATTCGCGCCCGTGGACCGGCTGGCAGGGCCAAGAGCCCCGGGAAAATATACTCAAGGAGCGCTTGGTCAAATCTCATGCTTTGTGCGTACTGTCCCTCCTCCCATTCACCGTTCAAATCGCCATTGTTCAATGTTGTTTCACCTGGGCAGGACTGACTTTTACTGCCTTTCAGAGTTACTAACATCGCACTTTCCAACGCCCCTAACGTCAACTTTGTCAAAGCAGCTGAGCTCGGCCTCAACTTTGAGAGAGAAACCTTCACAACCTCAATCGATAAGGTTTGCTGAGCGCCATCTTCACCCTTTCACCCAAGATGAATCACTGACCCGCGGTTTGCAGGAAACGTACGCGAACACAATGAGCGCCAAGTCGATCATGTTCTTCAAGAGACGGCAAGATAACGAGTCAAATCTCCACAACAACCTTCAAGCCCAAGCACAGGCTCAGGCTCAGGCCCAGGCTCAGGCCCAAGCACAGGCTCAGGCTCAACAACAACAGCAACAGCTGCTGATGAACCAAAACGTGCAGGCAATGCAGAATCGAATGGGCCAGCCTATGGGTCAGAATCCTCAGCAAGGCTTCCAACACCTGCAGTACCCCATGCAGGCTTCTCAGATCCCCCAGCAGCCCGGCATGGGCATGGGCATGGGCAACGGTGGTGCACAGCCAGTCGGTCCACAGCAACAAATGTTCCAGATGCCAAATGGTCAAGGACAGCCTCCGAACATGATGCAGAACCAGACACCAAACGGAATGCCACAAGAGCAAGCCAAGATTGCCGCAGAGTACCGCAGGCTCATGATGACGGCCACACCGCAAGCCAAAGAGCAGGCACGAAGCATTGTCCAGAACAAATGGCCCGATCGATATGCACTGTGCCAGCAGAAAGGACAAGATGCTGCCGAGTGGCTCTACTCACAACAGGCTATGAGCAATGTCGCCAAAGCAAACGCCGCGCAGCGTGCGCAGGCTGGAGGCATGCCGCCAAATGCCAATGCCGCTGGACATCCCATGATGCAAGCCGGTAGAGGCCAGATGAACCCAGGCATGATGACCCCTGGCGTCGCCCAGCAGGGCGTGGCCACTGGAGGTGACATTGTTCAATTCAGTTCAAACATGGAGAGCATCATGAACCAGCAAAAGGCCGGGATACTTGCTCAAGAGCAGGGTCAGATGGTCGTTCCTGCCAACACTGGTCCAGCCCGCAACGCCACTCCCCAACCGCACGCAGGCGCTCAAGGACAGCAGGGTCCAAACCAGACGCCACGGCCGCAACATGCGCAGCAAGCTCAGCAGCAGCAACCACCCTTCAACATGCAGCAGGCCCAGCAGCAGGCCATGGCGCAACAGCAGGCCCAGCAGCGAGCCCAGCAGCAGGCTCGTCAGTTGCAAGGTCAGCCGAACGGGCTTGGCGGCGGTATCCCCCCCTCGCAAAGTCCAGGCATGAACACCCTCAACACCCCCATGCGACGACCACCGAGTGCGATGAATGCTCCGGACGGGCAGCAGGGACCCCAAGGAAACGGCCCTTTCACGGGCACCCTCGACCCGCGCTTCAATCAAGGCAATCAACGACCGACGGCCCCCGGTGCGAACATGATGGCGCATTTCTTGGCAAGCATGTCAGCGGAACAACGCCAAAAGCTGATGGGAATGCCGCAACAGCAGTTGAGTGAGATTATGAACAGGTGGCAAGAGCAGCGACAAAAGCAGCAGCTACAGGCCATGGCGCAAGCTGGCAAGGCCCCTGGTCAGATGCAGAACCGCCCTGGTCAGCCCGGTCAGTTCAACCAGCAGAATAGTGTCAATGGTATGGGTATGCCCAACGGCGGTGGGCAACAGACCCCGGGCGGTGGCCCAGGCAGCGCCCAGATGCTTGCCGCGCAGCAAGCGATGCTCGCGCGCGTCCGTCAAAACCAGCCCATCACCCCCCAACAACAGAACGCCATGGACAGCATGGATGTACCGCCGCAGGTGCTCATGGGCTTTACTAATCAGTTCCGCCTCAACCCCGAGGTGCGCAAATGGCGGGAGCTCAAAACATGGATGGGGCAGAACCAAGTTCCTCAGCAGACGATGGAGCAAGTGGAGAAGTACCAGCGTCAGCAATTTGCAGGCCATATGCAGAAGCAAATGGAACGTAGGACGCTCCAGGCGCAGCAACAGCAGCAACATCAACAGCAGCAGCAGCAGCAACAGCTGATGCAGCAGCAGCAACAGCAATTGCAACAGCAGCCGCAGATGATGCAGCAGCCTCAACCCCCTCAGCAACAACCACCCCAGCAGCAGGGCGGTATGCCACCAGGTGCTGGTCCCAATCAGGTCATGCCGCCGAACCAGAGGCCTGGCATGCCTAATATGATGAACTTTCCTCCAAATCTGATGCATGTTACGCCTGAGCACATCAAGGAGGTCCGAGACAAGCAGCCCAAGGCGGCGAACTTGCCAGACGAACATATTCGGAGATTCATCATTACTCAGCGCCAGCGACAACACCAGGAGATGGTGTTGCGCCAGCAGCAACAGCAGAATGCCATGGTGGCTTCACGCTCGACCCCAGGTATGCCTGGTCCCGGACCACAGCAGCAGCCCGGCCCGGGTATGCAGGGACCAGGTGTTCCTGCAACCACGACACAGCCTCAGGTTGTGCAGGCCGCACAGCAACGGCAGCAGAATGCTGCGGCCGAGTCGAAGGCACCTGCCAGCGCTGCGGCTCGAGCCGCTAATGCTTCCAACGCAAATCGAGCTGGCCCGAACAAGACTGCTCAACAGCCAACCCCGTCCCCTGCGGCGGCGCGAAAGAACCTCAAGCGACCCAGCCCTGACGATACGGCCGATGCGGCCCCTACGCCCGCCCAACAGCCAACTCAGGCACCCGGTCCCCAGCGCCAGCAGATGCCGGTGAAGATGCCACAGTTCACTCCAGAGCAATTGGCCTCCATGACACCGGAGCAAAGGGCAAAGCTGGAGCAGCTCAGGAGAGCCCAGTCGCAGTCACAAGAGAACGTCTGGTTTGAGCGTCTCAAGCAGATCGGACAGGAAGAGCAAAGAAGCGCGGCTCAAGATGTCATGGCCGACATCCCCATGTCAGCCGAAGAGAGACAGCAGACTCTGTCCAAGCTCCAGTCGACCATGGTTCATATGGGCCGGGTTGGCAAGGTTCTCGGCAAGTGGTTTGCGCACACACGAGATGAGACGAGAGCTCGCAAGTATTTCAGTATGGTGAGTGCCACGCATCCCTTTCCCTTTGCATTGGCAGGTGCTAACCAATTCGAAGCGACTGCGCCTCATCAGGCAGTTTGAAGATGGTGACCAGATGCAAAGGCCAAAAGACACGTTCAGCCTTCGCCAGTCTGAGCTCGACGACGTGGTGAAGCTGTTGGAGAGTATGGTCAAGGACATCAGCAACAAGCGGGCGCCCGCCGGCGCGCCGCCTCAAGGACAGACCGGCGGCAATCCGCCTGCGCCGTTGAGTGCGGCCAACCTGGAGAAGCAGACGCAAGCTCTGAACAAGATGCACAATCGATCCAACAGTAAGAGCGGCCAGCCGCCAGCCGCACCTACGACGAGCCAGCCGCCGTTCCAGTTCGGTGCCCAATCGCCACATGGACAGCCAGCCTACGTGGGCAAGCCCTCGGTTAACCGAGACAATCTGCAGCTGCCTCCTCGGAAGAAGACCAAGACGGGGGCAGAGCATCCAACGCCTCCCAACCCGGCGCAGGGCACGCCGTCCCCGCAAATCAGCAAGACGTCGTCCCCAGATGCTAAACGGCAACCCGAGGTTAAAGCACCGCCTCCTGCGCCCCCTAAGCCGGCCTTCCTGTGCAGCGAGCCCGACTGTGAAATGGCTAGCACTGGCTTTCCTTCGGAACAGGCTCGACAGGCGCACATTCAGGAGGAGCATGTCAAGCCGCTCGAGGACCCCATCAAGTTCATGCAAGAGAACCTTGCTGATTACCTTGGCCTCGACTCGAACGGGCGGATCGTCGCTGACGCGCAGGCGGCGGGCGCAATTCCGATCAAGCAGGGACTGACGCCAGTCAGTACGGCAGCGACGCCCATGTCTCGTGACGTCTCGATGCAGCGGACGGCCAGCAAGGTTGGCGGCAAACTGGCAGTCAAAGGAGCCAATGCGAAGGCCGGGGCCGACAAGGCGGGCGAAGCTGTTGCATCTGGCGCTGTGCCCCAGGCGACGATGGACCCACGGGCCAATACGGTGGATCCGTCGACGCTGTTCCAGAAGTTTGGTTCTTTTGATTTCGGCATGAACGGGGCCATGACCAACATGAATGTCTACCGGGCGCTGACACCAAACGACACGCCCGAATCGAGCAAGGACAGCGGGCTGTCGGAGCCCAACAGCGAACTATCGGAAAACGCTGGCCTCGACATGGACATTAACTGGCAGAGCATGGACGCGGAGCTGCTCATGGATATCGATAAGATCAACATGGACGGGCTTGAAACGCTGCAAGACGGCGGGATGCAGTTCGACGCGAGCATGTTTGGCGAGTCAATCTCGATTGAACAGTACCCGGACTGGGATGACGTGCACGTGGACTTCGACAAGCCGGTGCAGCTTGACGCTAGTCTGTACGGGATGGATGTGTAGGGCTATGGAACGTATGCCGTCGAGCATGACGTATACAGCCCTGGAGTTCGGTTCTTTTGCTCTCTCACTCTCTCTCTCTCTCTCTCTGGGCATGTGCTTCAGAGGATGGGTGCATCCGGGCATCAGGGCATCTGTTTGATTATGTTTTGTTTTTCGGCTCGCGGTGTTGATATACCCCCCCGAGAAGGATGGAGCAATGGCGGATCGACGAGGACGTTTCGATTGACGAACGGTGGGGAACCGGCAGCATGGGAGCAATAAAGCGCTGGCGTATTCTCGAAGGATGGGCAGTGGAGCATGACCAAAAAAGTTGGAGGATTACAGTTCTTGACGGAAACGGACTGGGATTTCCATTTCACATTGTATACGGGGTGCGGGCATAATGCTTGAGCCAACCCTCGGGTCATGACTCTTGTTTTTTCGTCTTTTTCTTTCTACATTTTTCTTTCATCACCAGTCTAGGTAGCCGTGTACACACGGCTCGGAATGATACCCTGTTCTTTCGATACATGTTGCACCATGCTGATGCAAGATGCGAGGATGCCCGTCAGCCGGTGTGGGCACGGTGAGCACGTTGTGACATGGGAGATGCCGATGTACGATGTAAAATGTACGATGTAAGATGTACGATGTACCAAAGTCATGGCTCCCCATGGCCATGGGAAGTATGATCCCTTGCAGGACGACGCCAACGCCAACGCCAACAACCAACGCGTGCCACACTGAAGTGACACCCGAAGGCGATAGGGCGCTAACCCGAAGGGGAATAATATCAATATCGCCTTTGATGGACCCTGAAAGGCTAGGGGGAGGCAAAGGAACGGCACCAGCCAGCTGTTGATTTTGGGGGTTGGTAAGGTGGGGGTGGGGGTGCGTGGATGGGGTTATGTGAGGGGGGTGCATTCTGCCGTGGACTCTTGACGCGACCCAGGACAAATGAGCCAATACGCGTTCCGCTCGCGGGATGAAGAGGGTGTTCAATCAGCACCCCTTGTCGGCCCCGTTCGTCTTCACGCGTCGGTCTCTTATCTGGCTGGCCGTGGCCGAATCTCGTTCGCTACCATTACTTCTCTCCCATCACGTCCCAGACTCTCACGATACCCTCTGCATCTCTCTCTTCCTCCCTCATCCGTCCCCGAACTTGAGGAAAACACCTTGCTTTGTGGTAATTTTTGGGGTTACGTACACCCCAGTCCTGCTTCATAGCGTCAACACCACGTTTTGTTTATTTGTTGTCTTTTTGGAGACAGCCCGTCTGTGGTGGGACGCGATTTGAGCCGCGTCCTTCTACCTACGCAACCCATTGCTTTTTTCCCTCCTGCACGAACAGCCCAGTCCACGATCTGCAGCAAAGGGCACCTTGACCCGAAAACTTGGACTCTCTCTCTCTCTCTCTCTCTCCCTCACACACACACACAGACATACAGTCGACCCTTCTTCCGCCACGGTTCAGAAGATAATGGACTCTCCGACTAAGAGACGCGCCCTCGCGCCCCTCGATGCAAACGCAAGCTCGCCCGGTACCGCCGCCGCCTTCTCCTTCAAGCCTCAGTCCGCGGCATCGGCTCCGGCGCGGTCGCCCCTCAAAGCGAGCATGGGCCTGTTCAGCACCGGCGCCCCGGCGGGCCTGAAGAGGCCGCTGCAGGAGGTCGTGTCGCGCGGTGACGAGAACGGCCCGGCCAAGAAGTTGTGCCAGGACCCCGCAGCGGAGGACGAGCAGCGGCCGTCGAGGCGAAGTTTGCCTTCTTCGCCGAGGCGTGAGGCCAGCATCGAGGTATGTTTTTACCTTTCTTTTTCACTTTACAGCTTGAGACTGCAAAGAGTGACATGAAGCTGATATGCGGGAAACGGCAGGCCGAGAGGGAAACGACAATGATGCCGAAGACGGCAGCGACAACAACGCCTGAATACACATCACAAGAGCCCCTTCGCACGAGATCCGCCTCCCCGGCCGTCTCGTCCGTCTTCGACGCGAGCATCGTGTCCAACGCCCACGACGACACGGCCATGACGGACCCCGAGCTGGCGCAGCAGGCTGTTGCTGCGCTGGGGCCTAGGCCGGTGGTGGCGGCGCCCTTGACGCGCGCGCAGGCGAGAGAGGTTTGTCCTACACCCCTCCTGCTCCTGTCCCCAGCAAGAGAAAGATGACGCCGCTAACGCTGTTGCAGAAAGCTCAGATTCTGAGGTTGCGGCTCGGGCTCGCCAACTACAAGCTCCGCACTGGACAGGCCGACGTGCCGCTCGAGAGGCTGCAGAGGCGGCCCGTGCCGGTGCCTGTTGCGCGGAGCGGGCGGTGCGAGAAGCCAGCGTCGACAGCGATGCGACGGTCGAGGCTGAGATGGAGGAGAGGGAGGCCGAGTCGGAGGACGAAGCGGTGGCGGTGGTGAAGCGGGCTGAGACCACGCGTGATGTTGCTGTCGCTGCTGCTGCTGCTGCCGCTGCTCAGGTGCCCAATTCTGCATCTGATGAGGACGCGAATGAGACGAAGCCGGTTGGGGACGTATCGCTTGGCGATGCTACGACGGGTCTTGTGAGCTTGGCGAGGACTGTGCTGCCGCCTTCGACCTGAACTTGCGCTATGTGGGCAAGGGAACAAACTTGTCGATGTCGGGGGATCCTGGAAATGGGCCCGACATGACGAGAAAGATGTCAAAGAGGGAGGGCCTATCTGTGTTACACGGCGATCACGGCTGCTTGGGATTTCGAGCTTGGCGTTCACAAAGAGGACAGACGGGCATGGTAAGGGGAGGGGGGTTCACTTGAACAAGTCGCAACAGACACGAAAAGCCGACCGACAGGAGGTTTGAAAGACGAGGCGGACGTCGTAGAGATAGCCTTCAATCTGAAAAGTCAAGGGCTTAATCGCAGCACAAGGCGCACACGGCCCTTTCTTTCTCTGCCTGGGTTCTCTCAGAGACTGCCGAAACTCTGGACGTGTCGCGCGGTTGGCTCCGCCTTGAATCGACCAGGGGTTGGGTAGAGTGCGGCGCGTCCGCG